AAAGAACCACCAAAGACAAATAGACACAATTTGTGGATTATATCTGGTCTATGACAAAATCATTTTTCACCTCACCTCCCTTATTCTCAGCACAAACAATAACAGAAAATTACTTACTCCTAATTCTATGCATATCTGACAAATGCTGTCAATATTTCTTTGTTTCACTTAGCACCTTGTAGATTGAAATAGACCTTGACTTTATAAGGTTAGGTTTTGCATTCACATTCATTCATATTCTAAACATCAGTTTCTGTATGTTTTACTTATGCCTTATTAAATCTCAATTCTAAATACTGTTTTCTTAAAACCACTCTATCTCATAGCTATTTTAAATTGTTACAATAATTGACTTTAAATAAAATTTTAAGGCAAAGAAATTATTTTTATCAGACCATCTGTTTATCATGTACGCTTAGGAAATGGTTTATAGCTTTCCCAGATTTGGGAGGTTACAAGCTCGCTCATTTGTACTATCCCCCAAGGGAGTTTTTGTTTTCATAAGTGGAAAATAGGCAAACCTTGCTGCTGTCTAGACATGAATTTGGGTAAGGCAAATATTTCTAAGCTAAATTTTACATTATGCTATTATGGTAATTTACAGTCTTTTCCTGCCATTTCCTTCTTTGTCCAATTACTTCTATTTGGCACTTAGAAATGTAAAATGCATGCTTTCAAACATTTTCACTGCACAGTTGTCTTAAGAGTTCCCTTGAAGTAAAACAAAGCAATTTCCCATATGGTGATTCCCACTAAAAAGTGAGTATCACATCTTTGTCAAAGATAATAGCACCTACTAATTAAGTGCCTAAGAGGTTCTTTCACAGCTTTTGCAAATATTATATTATTTAATTCTTACTATATGCCTATGAGACATGTATTGTGAACTCGGTGATGCAGAAAAGAATGTGGCTCAGAGAGATTAAATAGCATGCCTAAAGTCAAACGTTTAGTTGAGGTAGAGATGAGATATAAACACAGACCTGTCTGGCTGAAGGCGTGTTATTAACTGTTCTGCACTGTCTCTTCTGCCACACTATCCGTCCATGCTGAGGACTTTCATATTTCTAACACTTTTCTTATTTTTGGACATCTATGTTGCTGGTGTCAGAAAACAAAAGTAAGTTTAAAATTACCATTTAGAACTGAGGTTTATTGAAAACACATATATGTGTTTTCTATAGTAATGTGAAAGCTTTGGATTGTCCATACTACTAAACTCTTTAATATTGTGAAGTGGTGACATTTGAATAAATCCCCCTGTTTTAAAAAGTCTAATACTTATTTTCATATACTGTGCCAGTTAGAAAGAATCAAACTGATAACATATACAGCTATTACAAATTCAGTAGTTTGAGTTTTAGCTCACTTTTTAAGATGGAGATTAAGTTTTTCACAGTGAAAGTACAAGTTCAAAGTGCCAAAGACAGGACACAGAAATACTATTTCTGTCAAGGTAAAGCTAAGCTTGAAGCACTGATTTTTTAGGAAGGCAAAGGTTAGAGTTTTGATTATTTAAAATGCTTCACTATTTTTCATACATGACATTGACTTCCCACACAAGAACGATATCCTAATTTGATGGGTTTTCCAAGGAAATTATGATTGTTTCTTGCTGTGGTACACTCATATTTTCTCATGGTAAAACCTCACACACGTTTGCTGCCAAGATTGATGAAAATTACAGGACTTTGTGTAGTATCAGATTGTGGATTTTGGAATACTACAGCTTGGGATGGAGACCTGTATGCTCTACTTTCTAATATTATGACTGTGGAGATGAAAATTAACATACTTAATCTTTGGTTTACTTCTTTATGAAAATGTAGTTAATGATAGCAACTTTTCCATGGAGTTACTCTGAATATTAATCAAAAACATATAATTAAGTGGTATGTGTGGTGCTTGGAATATAGTAAACCCTCCATAAATGGATTTAGTTATGGCTGTTTCAGATAATGACTGAGGGACCAAAGACATGGATTACATTAAGATTTTTTGTCTCATTTTTCAGTATGTAGTAACTGACTAAGCTTTGGCCACAGATTGATTTAGAAACAGTCATTTGGGGGGACTGATGACTTATTTGCCTTTTATGGTCTTCTAGCCTTAAGGATGAATGATATTTTAGGTTAGGTTTCCTTGGAAACAGGCTGGCAGGCATATTGCATACAGCAGATTTGTTGGGAAGTATGCTTAGGACAACAATCAATAACGATTAACTAAAAACGCAAGGCAGAACTTGAACTATGTGATACAAGTCCATAGAGGTCCCAGAAGATCTGATGGGAGCTCTGCAAATGAAATGATACCTTACAGTGGTTCTGTCTTGAATCCAGGGGGCCAAACCTTTGTAACCCCCAATTGACCAGTCATTGGATTTGATATACCTCCAGGGTGAGGCACTTAGACATAGGCAAGGAAACTTTGTTCTGTGGATAGCTATTCCTGGGGCAGGTCTCAGTAGTGAGCCCTCCCAGGCAACCTTTTCAGAACCTGGAAGAATAGTGAATGAGTGTGTTGATTCTGGAAGTTGGGCGGAGGGTGTGAAAGGAAAGTGTCTGAGCAGTGCAACACGGTGTCCATTAAGTAGCTTCTAAAAACATGGATGTTTTATGAGGTAATTCTCCATTTTTAAAACTAGAAATTAAATGTGATGTAAATCTAAATTCTAGTTTATCTACACTAATTAAACTTTAAAAATCTGTTGTCCAAACTACAAATTTATTTACATTTGAGAAGTCTAAAGCATAGAGTGTTGAAGTGACCAAAGTAACCAAAATAATACAATCAATAGCCGGAACCCATTTGTTGACTCTTCTCCCACTTTACACCTTTATTGATTTAAAACCTGTGCAGAATGTAACATTTTGTTCTTCAACTATGTAATGGATGTCTGCAAGTATTTTCCAGCTGTGCTCTGTGATTACCAAATTTAAGACTATCTACCAAATCAAATCCTTTATTAAGGTTTGCACTCACCTAATTTACCTGTATAAATTACAGATGATTGGAAAAAGTCCTAACTTATGAGAGCATGAAACCTAGTGCTTACTACAAAATGTAGCATATCTTCATATTTAGCTGAGGTAGACATTAATTTCATACTAATTTCATGGATTCTCAATTATGGAAATAATGCAGAATCTGCCTTTTAAATAGTAGTAATTAATCAATGTTTACATGAATACCTCTTTATTCTTCTGTTATTATTTTTATTCAGGAACAAACTGTCATGCGCGTCCATGTGAAGAGACCACCAAACAGACTCTGTGTGAGCAATAAAGCTGTTTAATCACCTGGGTGCAGGCGGGCTGAATCTGAAAAGAGAGTCAGCAAAGGGAGACAGGGATGGGGCTGTTTTATAGGATTTGGGTAGTTAGTGGAAAATTACAGTCAAAAGGGGTTGTTCTCTGGCGGGCAGGGGCTGGGGTCACAGGGTGCCCAGTGAGGGAGTTTTTGAGCCAGGAGAAGGAATTTCACAAGGTAATGTCATCAGTTAAGGCAGGAATCAGTCATTTTAACTTCTTCTGTGACTCTTCAGTTACTTCAGGCCATCTGGATGTACACATGCTGGCTTGGGCTCAGAGGCCTGACATTCTTGTCTTCTTGTATTAATAAGAAAAACAAAATGAAATAGTGGTAAAGTGTTTGGGTAGTGACAGTTTTTGGGTGGTAAGGAGAGAGAATGGACAATATTTCTCAGGGCTGCTTCGTGTGGAATTAGGGATGGCATGAAAACCTAGAGTGGGAGAGATGAAGCTGAAGGAAGATTTTGTGGTCGGGGGTGATAGTGTGGGGTTGTTAGAAGAAACATTTGTCGTATAGAATGATTGATGATGGCCTGGATATGGTTTTGTATTAATTGAGAAACTAAATGGAAGACACCAGATGCAAATAAGAGAAGGAGAAAAACAGGTATTAAAGGACTAACAATTGGGAGGACCCAGGACATCCAATTAGAGTGCCCAAGGGGGTTCAGCATAATTATTTGCTTGGTTGGCGAGTTTTTTGGGCTCTATCCTTGAGTTTTTTTTTTTTTTTTTTTTTTTTTTTTTTAATGTTATCATACAGCAGGCCAGATTGATTTAGGTAAAAACAACGCTCTTCGTTTAAAAATACAGAGTCTTCTTTCTTTTTTTTTTTTTTTAGTAGTGAGTAAGTCAAGTCCTTGGCGATTTGGGATGAAAGAGAAATGCAAAGCCAGCAATGGTTTGTTAAAGAAGGATTAGAAATGGCTAGGAGAGAGTGAGTGAGATTGATAGTGTGGTGGAGATAGCTGGGGAGAGGTAGAGGGTGGCATTAAGAACGGGAATGAGAATAAGAGTGCATATAAAAGTAAAGAATAGGACTTCATCAAGGTGAAGTGTACCCTGTCAGCAAAGATAATCTATCCACTTTATTATTATTGGAGTGTACCCTGTCAGCAAAGATCATCTATCCACTTTAAGAGAGACTTAAGGGTGGTGGTTTGAGGTAAAACCAGGAGATATCAGTTATGATGGTTTGAAGGAAAAGTGTAAACTGGCAGTGTAAACAAGGGCAGGATATTTCTGAGTAGTTGAGAATGGTGAATAGGAGTATGACTAGTCAGAAGATAGTAGGGAGGACAAGTTTTTGGGGTGCAGTTCAAATTGGGCTGGTGTCTGGAATGAGACTGGGGCCTAATAAAAAGGAGCATCCCTGCAGGAGCTCAAATGGGCTGTATCCTGTAGCATCCCCAGGACAGACCAGAATTCTGAGAAGGACAAGTGGTAAAAGTATTGTCCAGTTCTTTTTAAGTGAGGTGTGTTTTTAAAAGACCATTAGTCCATTTTACCTTTCCTGAAGACTGAGGATAGCAAGGAGTATGAAGGTTCCACTGAATACCAAGAGCCTGATAAACTGCTTGGGTGATTTGACTAATAAAGGCCAGTCCATTATCAGACTGTATAGAGGTGGGAAGGCCAAACCAAGGAATTACATCTGACAGAAGGGAAGAAATGACTATGATGGTCTTCTCAGACCCTGTGGGAAAAGCCTCTACCCATCCAGTGAAAGTATCTACACAGACCAAGAAGTATTTTAGTTTCCTGACACAGAGCATGTGAGTAAAGTCAATTTGCCAGTCCTGGGAAGGGACAAATCCCTGAGCTTGATGTGTAGCGAAGGGAGAGGGCCTGAACAATCCCTGAGGAGTAGTCAAATAGCAGATAGAACACTGAGAAGTGATTTCCTTGAGGATAGATTTCCATGATGGAAAGGAAATGAGAGGTTCTAAGAGGTGGGCTAGCAGCTTGTAACTTACATGGAAGAGGTTATGAAATGATGACGGAATAGAATGGACCTATGAGGCTGGAAGGAGATCCTTGGTCCAAGAACCATTTGCCTTGTGTGGGAAGAGATCGATAGGTGGAAGTTTCAGTTGGGGAGTAGGTGGGAGTGACCAATGAGAAGGAGAAAAACTTCCATGAGAGACAGAAATTGGAATGCTAGCTGCTTTTTAAGCTACCTTAACAGTGTAAGCATTACCCTGAGTGATGGGATCTGATGCCTTTTGATGGCCCTTGCAGTGAATGACTCCAGCTTCCTTTGGAAGTAAAGCAGCCTTGAGAAGAATTTTTATTAAAGAGGCATTAAGGATGGAGGACCCTTGTTTAATGAGGAAAATTCTTTCTGCCCATATAACAGCATGGTGGTGCAGGATATGGAAGGCATATTTAGAGTCAGTATAGATATTGACACATAGTCACTTTGCAAGAGTGAGGGCTCGAGTTAAGGTAATGAGTTCGGCTTGCTAAGACATAGTGGAGGGGGCAGAGCAGTAGCCTCAAGGACAGATGTGGAAGATACTATGGCATAGCCTGCCTTTGCTAATGAGTGGCAATTAGGCCCAGTGGAATGGCCATCGATAAACCAAGTGTGACCAGGGTGAGGAACAGGAAAGAAGAAATATGGGGAAATGGAGTGAATGTCAGGTGGATCAGAGAGATACAGTCATGGGAATCAGGTGTGGTATCTGGAATAATGTGGGGGGCAGCCTAAATCAGTTAAGGTCAAGTAATTTGGACAGAAAGGCTGCAAGGTGTAGTCCTGGCTCTTGTGTAAGAATTCTGACTGCACAGTCCTGTAATTTGACTGTATGTAATGAAAAAGGGTTGGAATGAGTTAGGGAGAGCTAGTGTGGGAGCAGCTTTAGGGCTTTTTTTAAGACATGGAAAGGGAAGTGGGGAAAGTTTGATTTAGGATCTATGGAGTCACCTAGGTTTGCTTTTGTAATATAATAATGGTTTAGTATATAATGGTTTAGTCAGGATGTAAAACTAGGTATCCAAAGGCAGAAATACCTAACCATGCATAGGAAGGAAAGGAGTTGTTGTTTAGTAGAAGGGGTTGGGGTTTGGGAGATTAGCCAGGCACGATCAGCAGGGAGAGTATGTGTGTTTTCATGAAAAATTATGCTGAGATAGGTAATGGATGAGGAAGAAATTTGGGCTTGACTGAAGTAATGGGGGCTGTCCGTGAAGCCTTGTGGCAGTACAACCCAGGTAATTTGCTGAGCCTGATGGGTGTCAGGGTCCATCCAAGTGTAAGCTAAGAGAGGCTGGGATGAAGGGTGCAAAGGAATAGTAAAGAAAGCATGTTTGAGATCCAGAACAGGATAATGGGTTGTGGAGGGGTTGTGGAGGGAGGTATTGAGGATAAGAGAGTATGTGGGTTTGGCACCATGGAGTGGATAGGCAAAACAATTTAATTGATAAGGCATAGATCCTGAACTAACTTGTAAGATTCGTCCGGTTTTTTTGGATAGGTAAAATAGAGAATTGTAAGGAGAGTTAATAGGCTTTAAAAGGCCATGCTGTAACAGGCGAGTGATTACAGGCTTTAATCCTTTTGAAGTGTGATGTTGGATGGGATATTGGTGTTGAACGGGTTAAGAGTGATTAGGTTTTTATGGGATGGTAAGGGGTGCATGATCAGTTGCCAAGGAGGGAGTAGCGGTATCCTATACTTGTGGATTAAGGTGGGGAAATAAAAGGGGAGGACGTGAAAGAGGCTTTGAACTAGGGAAAAGGGTGGCAATGAGGTGTGGCTATAGCCTAGGAATAGTCAGGGAAGCAGATCATTTAGTTAAAATGTCTCAACCTAATAAGAGAGCCGGGCAGGTGGGGATAACTAAAAGGAGTGCATAAAAGAATGTTGTCCATGTTGGCATCAGAGTTGGGGAATTTTAAGAGGTTTAGAAGCCTAGCCGTCAGTACCCACAACACTTATGGATGCAAGGGAAGCATGCCCTTGAAAAGAAGGTAATGTGGAGTGGGCAGCCTCCATACTGATCAAGAAGGGGATGGACTTACTTTCCACTGTAAGAGTTACCCAAAGCATCTGTGATGGTCCAGGAGGCTTCAGAGAAAATCAGGCAGTGTCAGTCTTCAGTCACTAAGCTGAGAAGACCTGGGAAGGAGTCAGGTAGAGGGCCTTGGGCCAGAGTTCCAGGGGCTCTGGAAGTGGCTGCTGGGCGAGTTGGACAGTCTGATTTCCAGTGGGTCCCACACAGATGGGACATGGCTTAGGAGGAATCGTGGACTGCAGGCATTCTTTGGCCCAGTGGCCAGATTTCTGGCACTTGAAGCAAGATCCTGGGGGAGGAGGTCCTGAAGGAATGCCTGACTGCTGTGGCTTAGGCATTTTGAAGTTCTTGTGTGCTGGAAAATGTGGCTGGGGTTTCTCTTATAGCAGAGGCAAGTAATTGCAACTCTTCTCTATTATTGTATACCTTGAAGGTGAGGTGGATTAATTCCTGTTGTAGGGTTTGAGGGCCTGATACTAATTTTGAAGCTTTTTATTAAGGTCAGGAGCTGACTGGGTGACAAAATGCATATTGAGAATAAGACGGCCTTCTGGCCCCTCTGGGTCTAGGGCAGTAAAGTGTCTAAGGATTGTTGACAAACAGGTCATGAACTGAGCTGAGTTTTTATATTTGATGACAAAGAGCCTAAATGCTAACTGATTTGGGAGAGGCCAGATAAAGAAAAAGGAGCATTAACCTTGACTATGCTTTTAGCTCCAGCCAGCTCTTTAAGAGGAAATTACTGGGCAGGTGGGGGAGGGCTAGTCATAGAATGAAACTGTAAGCCACACTGGGTGTGAGGAGGGGAGGTGATAGAAGAATTATAGGGTTGGGGAGTGGAGACTGAGGAAGAATTGGAGCCTGATTAAGCCTGGTGGAGAGCGACCTGAGGAGGAGCAGACTGGGGAGCAGGGGAGAGGTCAAATGGGTCGGTAGAAAAGGAAGATTTAAAAGACTCAGTGATGCTTGGGGTTGGGACTGAGGGGGACAGGTGGGAGGGAAAAAATGATTTGGGATGAATCACACTGGGAACAGAGACTAGGGAGGGACTGATATGTAAAAGAATGCCTGGATGTCAGGCACCTCAGACCATTTGCCCATTTTACAACAAGAATTATCTAGATCTCATATGATGGAGAAATTTAAAGTGCCATATTCTGGCTATTTGGAATCATTGTCAAGTTTGTATTGGGGTCAGGCGGCATTGCAGAAGAAAATAAGGCATTTAGGTTTTAGGTCAAGTGTGAGTTGAAGAGGTTTTAAGTTCTTGAGAACACAGGCTAAGAGAGAATAAGGAGAAATGAAGGGTGGAAGGTTGCCTATAGTGAAGAAAGCAAGCCTAGAGAAAAGAGAAGGTAGAGACATGGAGAGAAGGGGTTGGGGGTACTTGCCCCCCAGGAAAGTGGTACTTGCCACTAAGGTGAAGGATCAAGGCAGGCATCCCCGTGGTGATCAGACACCTCTGAAGTGTGGGTGAATAATCAGGCAGGCGTCCTCATAGTGATTAAACACCAAGGGAAGATTGTCTTCCTGAGTCAGTGACCGGCACTGGAGCTTTGGGTTCATGGATAAAACGTGTCTCCTCTGTCTCTACTGAAATTAAGAGAAGGGAGAGATTCAAGGGTGGCACCAAGATTGAAAGGAGAAAGAGGTTGAAGGATAGTGAGAGAGGCTGGAGAAGAGAGTAAAAAGAGGCCACTTACCTGTTTTAAAATTGGTGAGATGTTCCTTGGACTGGTAGGTCTGAGGACCCGAGGTCGTAGGTGGATCTTTCTCACAGAGCAGAGAACAGGAGGACAGGGGATTGATCTCCCAACGGGGGGGTCCCCCAATCTGAGTCATGGCACCAAATGTCATGTGCGCCTGTATGAAGAGACCACCAAACAGGCTTTGAATGAGCAATAAAGCTTTTTAATCACCTGGATGTGGGCTGAGTCTGAAAAGAGAGTCAAGGAAAGGAGTTAGGGGTGGGGCTGTTTTATAGGATTTGGGTAGGTAATGGAAAATTACAGTCAAAGGAGGTTGTTCTCTGGCAAGCAGGGGTGGGGGGTCACAACGTGCTCAGTGGGGGAAGTTTTGAGCCAGGAGAAGGAATTTCACAAGGTAATATCATCAGTAAAAGCAGGAATCGGCCATTTTCACTTCTTTTGTGATTCTTCAGTTACTTCAGGCCATCTGGATGTATACGTGCAGGCTTAGGCTAAGAGGCCTGACATTAGCATGCAGGCTTGGACTCAAAGACCTGACACAAACATGCTTTCCTGACATCTGTATTCTAAGTTGTGTGATTCATTGTTTTTAAGCTTGAATAACCTGATTTCACATATTTTTCCGTGAGTCAGAGGCATGTCTAGCTGTTAGTTTGTTATTGTCTGTACTTTTACATAGCATGCCTGCACTAGCCATCATTTTTCTACTTTGTGTTTTTAATCTTTTAACCGGTCACTATGGGAATAGTTTTTCCAGTTTTCAGTGAAAACCAGGCAAAAATTGCTATGGATCTCACCAAGACTGGCAAAATTTTATTGCTATTGTTTATTTAATTTCATGGGTTTAAATGAAACCAGAAAGTCTGCAGCAGTTTTGATCTCTGGTCTTGCTCTCATCTATTTAAATCTTTAAAACTGCTTTGCTCTATGGTTTCATAATTTTATTGCTTGTCAAAAATCAGCTGGGATACATGATAGGTTAGCATGGCAACAATGTATCTTAACCATAGATGAAGCAAAGTGGTGAAAATTTCCAGAGATGATGATTAAGGTTCATGAAAAATTAATAGGACATCTGAGTTTCTTGAGACTTAAACATCATCTAATTGCTCTAGTTTGAGTTTTTTTCCAGGGGAAATGAAAATATTCCCTTAGTGTCTAATGAGAGTCTGCATGATAAGTATGAACTTTAGAAGGTTAATGTATTTCGAGTAAATCTATTGAATATCGAGCTTAATTTATTCAATCCTTATTTTTGGGTGCCTCTTTTTACCTAAGTACCAAAAGGAAATGATGAATAAAAGTTTTTTTCCTGACTCACATCCCTTCTAGCTACTGCTCCCTTTCTCAGCAGTCCAGTTCCTTTCCTCTTATTCTCTTAAATCAACCAACATTTGCCCACAGCACACCATTAAAACATTTCCAGGTTCAGCAGTGACCATGTTATTGTTCAGTTCTCACTCTTCAATGGGCTTGACCAACAAGCAGTTCTTAGTACAGCTGGTCATTCACTTTACTGAAACACTTTTTCTACTTATCTGTTTTTCTCCACATTTTCTGGCTATTTTCACTCAGTCTATTTTTGTTGTTCCTTGTCATCCCCACAAGCTCTAAGTATTGGAACATACCAGTGTCCATTTCTTCAACATCTTTTCCTCTCTAGCTGTACAGATTTCTCTGGTAGTCTCTCTCATCTTATTGATGCATTCATATGCTTTCCTGTCCCAGGTTTATATTCCTAGCCCAGATTTTAACTCTGTAATTCAGGTTCATGTATCCAGAACATTTAGGCCTTTGGCTTTTACTTTGATTGGTAAAGGAGTCATGGGAGAGTGTGAGTGGAGAAATGACATGATATGGCTTGCTTTTCAACAGGGTCACTATGACTGCTGTGTTAAGAGTAGGTGATGGGAAGCAAGTGCAGAAGCAGGGGGTCCAGTTAGGAGCTGTTGCAGTCACCCAGTTGAGGTATGATGATTTTTTTGACCAGGGTGGTGATAGTGGAAGTGGTGAGAAGTGGTCATATTCTGAATATATTTTAAAGTTAGAGTTCACAAAATGTATTCCATGGATTGTATATGTAATGTGAAAGGAAGTGAAGTCAAGGCTGACTCTAGAGTTTTTCTTCTAAGCAACTGGAATTTCATTAATTGAGATAGGGAAGATTGGGGTTGGAGAGGAGGTTCTGATGGAAATTTGTGCAACTCCACTTAGGAAGTGTTATTTTGAGATGACACTTAGAGTGCTTTCATTAAATATTTAATCAGTGAATGACTGGCATCTCAGCCCTGCCTTCCATGACCAGTTGTTTCTATACATAGAGCCTTTGTATTTCACCCCTCCTTGTCTTTGGGTTTGTGGAGTAGTTGTTGCGTGGCTTGTGATCAAAGCAAAGTGAATCTGGGTATAAAATTACCCCATATACAGACACAAACAGATTTTTTCTTTTAAATGATGAACCCCGACTCTAACTTCCTTCTATTACACTGAGACCTGGGTTTTTCCAGTGTTGTGATCTAAAGATGGGTTTACTTCTCAAGGTAATCTCTGTTTGAAGGCAGAGGGACTTTGGCTTCATATGTTTTGTTTGATCAGTTCCTAAACAGCCACCTCATCCACTTGTCACTTTTCAAAAATGTGTTGACATCTCTTTATTGTTCTTATCACTCCCCATGTTATTTTTGCCATTGTGGCATCTGTTTTTATATCTCTAAATTGTTATTTTAGTATTCTGTTTGCCTAAGGAACCTGAGATAAATGCACATGTTCAATCCAAGTTAATAACAATTCCACTTACATATTCTTCCAGAAACTTTCTTTTTAATATTGAATGCATTTTTCATTCAAATATACAATTTAACACTTTTTTCTTTCATAAAAATGCAAAAACATTAAAGTTTTAATTTGTCAAAACGTTTACTGTCATGATGTTGCATTAATTGTGGAAGATTCGATACTCCACGTTATCTCCTCTCAGACATTTAGAACAAGTTTCAGTTGTGAAATTGCATGAGCTCCTAGCATAATACTCTCTGGAGTATTTTGGACACTAAATACATATTTCTTGAGTGAATAAATTAATTCTCGAAGAGCTGCCCACCTTTGACGTTTTTATTCATTCTCAGGTTAATTCTCCTATATTTTTCATCTACTATTTACTATTCAATTGATATTATAATATTTATTCAACTGATACCCTCTATGTGTAAGGTAATATGTAATAACGATTTAGAAAGACTTCTTCATCTCAAGACATTTACAGTTTATTGATACAGAAAAAATAATGTAAAAATAAAGAGCTAGACTATAATAAGGAGCATAAGAGTCATACTAATAATCTAAGGGTTGAGGGAAGTGAAAATTTTCGTGGCAGGAAAAATCAGGATATCTTTATGAAATGATGGCTTTAAGATAAGCCTTGAAAAGTTGCTGGGATTCAACATAAGAAATGGAAAAGAAGTCACTCTAAATGAGTAGGCTAGTATGTGTGAAGATGAAGGGATGAGAAAATGTGTTAGTTGGTAAGTATTCGTTGAGCTCGATTAGAGTAAATAAAGGAGAAACTTGGAATATAAAGCCAGAAAGAATTTGAAACAGATGTGTTTGGCCATAGGCAATAGGACAGAAATAATATGGGTGTTTTTTCACAGGGGAATACAAAAGGTTAATCAATAGGAGATCGCTGTGATCGACGTTTTCTTTGGGAAGCCTGTTGAAAGGAAATGACAGGTGATTGAATGCTGGCAAGAGAAATAAGTGGTATCACTCAGAGAGATCTGAATCTCTGAGGATATAGGTTCTATTTCCAGATATATGGGAATTAGAAGGAGAAGATAGTTTTGGAAGTATGAATAAGATAATAGTAATTTTAGGTACAGTAAATTTATAGTGAATTTCAGGTATAAATGTCTAACAGGCAGTAGAAAATATGAAACCAAGAACTTGGGAAGAAAGAGTTAAAAGAAAGACTTGACAAAAATGATTAAAGAACATCATATTATGTGATCACTTTCTCAGGTTTAACACATTTAGTTATTGAAAAGTTGCTCTTTTGGAATCATTTTTTTTAAATTTATTTATTATTATTATTATACTTTAAGTTTTAGGGTACATGTGCATAACCTGCAGGTTTGTTACATATGTATACTTGTGCCATGTTGGTGTGCTGCACCCATCAACTCATCAGCACCCATCAACTCGTCATTTACATCAGGTATAACTCCCAATGCCATCCCTCCCCACTCCCCTCTCCCCATGATAGGCCCCGGTGTGTGATGTTCCCCTTCCCAAGTCCAAGTGATCTCATTGTTCAGTTCCCACCTATGAGTGAGAACATGCGGTGTTTGGTTTTCTGTTCTTGTGATAGTTTGCTGAGAATGATGGTTTCCAGCTGCATCCATGTCCTCAAGGATCTAGAACTAGATGTACCATATGACCCAGCCATCCCATTACTGGGTATATACCCAAAGGATTACAAATCATGCTGCTATAAAGACACATGCACACGTATGTTTATTGCGGCACTATTCACAATAGCAAAGACTTGGAATCAACCCAAATGTCCATCAGTGACAGACTGGATTAAGAAAATGTGGCACATATACACCATGGAATACTATGCAGCCATAAAAAATGGAATAATTTTTTTATATTGAATAAATTCATATTTATTTAAAAATAATGTGCAGTGACATCATTTTTACATTTAATTCCCAAACATATGATAAGTTACAAACATATTTTTATATTTTGTGGGACTGTTATAAAATTAGTAGTCATTTGTGCACATTAAAAACCCAATGCCATAATGAATAAATAATTGGAAGGTAAAGGTTATACTTTCTCCAGGATATTAAAATACATATTTCTCCAGATCTGTTGTTACAGTCAAATTGTCACTTTTTATTTTTCTTACCCTTAGACTTCGGTGAATGTGTATTCTAGAATTTATATTAAGGACGACCTGATCCCAGCTTTATTTTTATGTCAAAGAAACTAAAGAGATTCAGCAACATTTTAATGTTTACAGTTAAATTAAAACTTCAAAATACCTAAAATTATTATCATAGCAAAGGCTTGTGATAAATTTTAAAGCATAGCTGTGTATGAAATGATTATGAGAGTTCTTGTTTTCTCTGTCTTCAATTATACTTCTCAAGTTAATATTCCGAAAATTTGATTATATAATCTCTTCAATGAGAAAAAAAAGCACAAATGTCTGTCTTTTTATTTTTTATGTATGTATGTATGTATGTATGTATTTGTTTATTTATTTTGAGACAGAATCTCACTCTGTCACCCAGGCTGGAGTGCAGTGGTGCGATCTCGGCTTACTGCAACATCTGCCGCCTGAGTTCAAGCAATTCTCCTGCCTTAGCCTCCCAAGTAGCTGGGATTACTGGCACCTGCCACCGTGTCCAGCTAATTATTATTATTATTAATATTATTATTACTTTTTTTGAGACAGAGCCTTGCTCTGTCGCCCAGGCTGGAGTACAGTAGTGTGATCTCAGCTCACTGCAACCTCCACTTCCCAGTTTCACACCATTCTCCTGCTTCAGCCTTCTGAGTAGCTGGGACCACAGGTGCCCGCCACCACACCCGGCTAATTTTTTGTATTTTTAGTAGAGACAGGGTTTCACCATCTTGGTCAGGCTGGTGTTGAACTCCTGACCTCGTGGTTCACCCGCCCCGGCCTCCCAAAGTGCTGGGATTACAGACGTGAGCCACCACGCCCGGCCATCTTTTTATTTTAATATTAATATGTGCTTAACTACACATATTATTCTGTAACTTTTTTAACTGAAAAATTGCCATAAACATATCTTTTTATTCATGTTTTAGGACAAAAAATAGAGCTATAGATATCGATACTTGTATTATTTCTTCCCTTTGCAACGTTTTCTAAAACAAAAAGACAGTGAGAAAACAATGAATCACCACAATGTGATCTAGCCAATATTAGTGAATCTGGATATTTTTTATGCAAAGATACTAAAATGTGATTCCAAGATCTTCATTCACGTTTTCAAACCACATATACTGAATTCATTCTTTATGTTATTCTTTGAAGCCTCCTTGCAAATATGAGGTCACATGCTTAAAGATTGTTAAAATCTGTTGTAGCTTGGAGAAGTGTCAGTGACTTATAAAGACCTCATTTCCAAGAGGTTGAGAGAAACAATATTTTGTTTTATCCATTCAAAACCAGACTGGCATTCAAAGATATTTTGATACCTTGGACTGGTACTTAGAAAAGAAAAGTTTACAGTCTCCTATGATACCCAATGAGATGTTAAACATTGTGTGTAATTACCTTTTACAATATCTGCTTTGAAAAAATTGAATAGAGACATTAATATTTGACAAAATATGTATTTTATTTTAGAATGCATCATGAGATTAACTCAAGCCACATGTACCCTCAGGCACACAAGGACAAACATTCTTTGCCTTCCATTCTGATATCTTCTTGGCTATAGATCATCTTTTCATAATTTGAGATATAGTTTACAGTGAAGGACATCCGGTGACATGTGGACAATCAGATTGGTAGCTCAGATCTCTGTTGGGTATCTTGCGTTCTGAGAGCTACAACTTTTATTATACAGAGACTCTGGCCAGCCTTCAATAGTACATAGTAAAATCGTGGGTGGTTTTTGCAGATAATATTTTATTTGGAGGTTTGCTGATGACAAAACTGTATGCTTTCAGAGTTATTAAAAAATCATAATGTGGGCTGGGTGTGGTAGCTCATGCCTGTAGTCTCAGCACTTTGGGAGGGTGAGGTGGATGGATCACATGAGGCCAAGAGTTTGAGACCAGCCTGGGCAATATAGTGAAACCCCAACTCTACTAAAAACACAAGAAAAATAGCTGGGCATGGTGGCACATGCCTGTAATCCCAGCTGTTTGGGAGGCTGAAGCAGGAAAACCATTTGAACCAGTGAGGCAGAGGTTGCAGTGAGTCGAGATCGAGCCACTGTACTCCAGCCTGGGTGACAGAGTGAGGCTCCATCTCAACAACAACAACAAAAGTTACAATGTAAATAAAACAATTAAGTACAGAGTCACACTTATAAATAAAACAATATAATTTTAATAATAAATATGTTTAAACAATGTCACTTAAAAATATTTCAATTTATTTTAATATTTTATACTACTGTTAGCAATAACAATCCTATAAGAAACACTGATTGTAAAGTAGTAGTTTGGACATTCCATGGTACGTTAATTCCAATCCTTGGACATAGATTATGTGCTTTTAGTTTGTTCATAATTTATTATGAATCAATGACAAATACCTACCTTTATATTTAGTGTTTTCACTGATTTTTCAGGCTACCTTTCCTTTTTGCCTAATGAGTTGTTAACATAAGATATGGTACCTTTATCTTCATTTATTTCTCTCCTTATACCATCCCTAAATGACCTGCATTAACTAGTCAACGCAGTGAGCTCTGAAGTCTTGGACTTGCTCTATGTAACCCAATCACTAATCACAAGGTCCTTCCACTGCCGTTTTCTTCCACCTGTGCTATAACTTCAGCCTGTATTTCCTTTTAATTCATATTGTGGCATACCAATTCTACTAACGATCAACACATGCCTTTTTTCCTCCTATTTCATTTGATTTCTTACACAACTCTCACCCATTTTGTGTATCTTTGCTTTATAGAGACAGTGACCTGCAATAATTAAGAATTAACAGACCTGGATCCAAATTTTGTCTTGTCTTTTTATGGGGCAAGTCAATATTTTAAGCCTCAATTACTCAATTTTCTTATCTATAAAAGACAATTCTGTGAAGTTATTGTAGATTTTGAAAATAAATCACTTAACACTTCCCATGGCACATGGTACTTGATAAAAGCTGGGTAGTCACAGGCAGATAGATGGTCCCTTAACCATAGCCCTTAGTTTAGGTGCATCATTAGAATTCAGATTTTATGGACTTTAAAAGGTATGCATATTACGTATCATACTTAATATCTCCAACAGGATGTTAGTCAGCATGCTCAAATAAGTTGATAATTCTGTCGGACAATATTTATGTATGAGTTTTTACAAAGAAATATTAGCCTCCCATTAATTCAAGTCAGATATTGTTACCAAATGAGTTATGAAAAAACCATTATTCAAATTTTGGAATTGAGGATAAGTGAGTAGGAATCCAGAAAACGAGAAGAAATTTTTCATTTTTGTTATTGTAAACTAAATTTTATTCTTTCATTTTGACTACCTGGATATTTTCTAGGTTTCCTAAATATAGGACTACAAGCACTTTTTTTACTTACACTTCTACAACTCATCCCCTTCCCCAGGTACCCTCACCACTCCAGATTTCTTCTGAGAATTAAGGGAGGGAATGAAATAGAGTTATTTCAGTAAAAGCATAATTGTTGGGCATGGAAAATCCATGTCATATTAAGAATTTTTTCTCTTTGGAATTTGTTAGGATAAGTATATAATATCTAGGGAGAAAAGGACACAAAAAAGCGTTAGTTTTTTTTTCTTCCTTTGTGATTAAAAACTGGCGTTTCTTATATGTATTTTAACTTAGATGTTTTAGCAAGATTTATAGTTAAATAAAATACACTAGCAATTTTAACATGTGTAATTTATTGTTTTATGTAAGTATTTTGGGGTTTTAGAGGAATGTAAATTGTCTTATCGACCTGTTGACATTGATTCTTTTTCTTCCACTAATAGGGATCTATAGAGATTTTGGTCTGTTCCTTCCTATTATCTATTGATTTGGGGGATTTGCCATCAGGATAAAAGTTGTAATTGAATTATAGTTTCATATTATGTAATTATTAATCACCATTGATTCTAGTATTTCTTTTTTAGTGTCCAACTGAAACCAAAGCAACATTTGGGGTTCATCTTAAAATAGTAGGAGACTGGACAGGTATGTAGGACATATAGTTTTAAGATACAGTCTTTGAAAATCATAGAATGTAATAATTTGAATGTGTTTTAGTATAACTACCAGCATGTATAGAGACGTGTATGTGTTTCAAGCTGTTCTCTTTTACTTATTTATTTATTTTTGGCTTGCACAGTTTTGACATCTATGTTTTCTCTTTTAAGATGCATTTTTGCAATCAGAATACCTTTGATATAAGTAATTATTAGTAATATATTGTTCAGTGTGCTTGCAAATCATAGACTTCTACCTACTTGTCAGACGTGCTGGCAATAGTGGGAATGCTGAAATGTGTTTTTAGAAAACATAAGTCAAAGTAATCAACACCTGATATTGAGATCACACAAATCTTCCAGTTCTTGCATGACATTTTTTGTGGTGTTCCTGTATATATAGAAATATCTTTGGAATAGATAATTTTAACAGCAGGCCTATTGGTGATACTTTACTTGTCTTCAGTAAATACTTTTTATTACCTGAGAGATGCATTGTAGTAAGAGCTCTGAGTAAATAAAAGAAACATTATTCACTCTTATATTAATATTTCCTTGACCCACCAGAATAATTGACAAGTGAGTACTCAGTAAATGTTGGCTTGTTGGTTGGTTATGTTGTTGTTGCAGGGAAGAATGCAGATATAAACATGAATGCAAAACTAAATTTAAATATTCTTATACTTAGGTGCTAAACAAGGAGTTGGTATGTAAAATCTGTAGGGAATCAGAAAAATGTAGATTAAATGTGGTCTAGGGCTGTAAGAGAAGCTTCACAGAAAAGACAGAATTTGAAATGAAGCTTAGAAGAAGTCAGGTAAATGAAGAAAGATATAGGTAATTTAAGTGAAAGTCACAGTGTTGTCAAAAATCAGGAAAGGCAATGATTAAACTCTCTTTGGAAAGGGTGAATCCAATCAGCCTTTAATCAATTAAACAAAAGCAAAGTCAGTCAAACAAAATGAAGCAAAAACAAAGTCAATCAAACAAAAGCAAAGATTTTATTCTGGGTAGTAGTATAGAAAAGCCATGTAGGGCCAGCTTGGTGAAGATTATGAATGCCTCAGCAAAATATTAGAGTAACCAACTAAGGGACTTTAGGGAATTTTTGAAGCATTTGAAGCACTATGATGAAAATGGTATTAATTAGATTGCTAGTTGGACAGACTAAAATCAAGGGAAGACTTGAAGGTACTTAAAGGCAGAGGGGAAGGAGGCCGTGGAGAGGTGGGGATGGAAACTCGAAGTAATGAATTTGTGAACACAAGTTAAGAAGGTAGTATTAGAAGGAAGAACCTAATTTCTGTAAAAATCAGGGAAGGATAAGATAATAAGAAAGACATGTTTTGAAATGAGGAGAACAGTAGTTGATATAAGGAGGTTATTTCATATAGTTAAAAAATAATAGAAGTATGTATAAAATGTAATGTCTTTAGAAAGGGTAGCCAGTTTAGAATTGGAGACTTAAAAAAAAAAAAAGGAAGGAAATCTGCAACATAGGATTTAATGGGCAAACATCTAAACGAATTAAAAAGATATTTGAGCAGTAATGACTCATTCAAAGTAATGAAAAACCAGGCTTACATGGATAATTTTCAGATGGTAGCATTGAAAAAAGATCATGGTCATCCTCTGATAGATATACTCTGGTGGAGTGTGAACATGTGAATAATCGCAATATGCTCGATATCAGTTGATATAATCACAGTGGTTTTTTTCCCCACTGTTCTGGAAATAAAGAATAAGGAAAATTCTTTTCTGATGAGAATCCCAATATAGTAGGAATTAAGTTCAGTCATGAATGGTAAATTGATAGAATCTATATCTGAAAGAAAACATACAATGAAAACATAGTTTAATTCATAAGATTAAGCAGAAACTCCTGATGGTTTATTATTAGCTATTGTTACCGAGTTTTTTTTCACAAAGTTATTTTCTATTACCAGTAGCTCATTAAAATAAATGATGTCTCACTATTTTAATCATCTCTATTAGGAACATCTCTATTAGTGTTAATTTTATCCTCTTTTTTTTAATGTACTATGCCACCGAGAGAAACAAGATCATTCTATTCAGAGAGTTCAGTTCCAGTCAGATGCTTTTCAATTAATAGACCTTCTTTGTTGTTGACTTGAAATATTTGTTGACTTGGAAAAAAACGTAAGCAGTCATGCAGAGAACACCTAAATAATCATGTCACTGTCGGACACTTTAGTTCAAAGAGATTTAGCTGCCTTACAATTGGACTACAATTATTGAAGGAAAAGTAGGAGCATTACCTTTGAAATCAAGAATCATTGGTTTTTATTCTAAAAGAATTGATTAAAACTTGGTATTAAGAGCAGTAGGTATAGGAAATACCAAAGAGATACCTAAGAGATTGAATATCAAAGGTTTATTTTTTTAAACCGACTGAGAGATATTTAATATGACTTTTAGTTGCTGAAATATGTTCTGCATTGGCAGCATACAGAGACTAAAGAACAGGTTTAAAATAGCTCCATAAATGATCTCTCCAAGACTAATAAACTATACCTAACTATAGAGTGCCGGAAGAGCAAGGGAAGCAACTATGCAGCACAAGACCAAGAAGCACCAAAGTCTCATAATTCTTGTCTAGATTTTCATTTTCACCAGACCTCTAGTTGCATCTCCTAAATATGTGGAAGACCTCTTAAGTTTAGAAGACCCTTAAAACATTTTAGACATGATTCAGCATTTTTTCTTGAAATGATTGTAGTAGAGTAGATGGGGTGGATAACCCAAGTCGATTTCTCTTTTAATTGAATTAATACCCCATTACTCTTCTAGAAGCAGCCATTCTTTCCAGTTTCAAACATATGGTCAGAGATTATTGACTTGATTATCATTTTAAGTGTACAGAAATGTTTTGTTACCTTCTTCATTACATATGATTAGTATTGATTAATGTCTGAGATAATGCTGTACCCTTGCTTATTTTGGTGGTCTAAATAGCCACTTATTCCACAGATGTTTGTGTTGTGCTACAACAGAATTAAATACATAACATCCACATGTAATTAATGTAAACTTTCTGCCATTGATCCCTTCAGCAGTTAATGAATTAGCAATAATTGTGAGTAAATATTCAATAAAGGACTTGTAGCATGCATCACATGACGTTTCTATGAATCTTGAGTATAAATTCCCATATTGTCTTCTGGAAAAGCTTTCTACAGTGAGAAGATATGGTTATCTTTGAGGATTAAAAATGAGAAGACAGGGTCATATGTTATTATGGATTTGCCTCAGTCACATAACATATTGACTACTCACAGTGAAGGTAATCTTAAATATACGTTTAGTTAAGGACTGGGCCACAAAAGAGTTGATAACTCTCTTATTTGTTTCTATATCACTGTAGAAGCCAGCCATGTTTCAGGCTTTATTCAGATTTCTCATGAAAAGATTAAAACAGAACATGTGTTATGTGTTTAAAGTATTTTTTTTTTTTTATTTTTGGAAACTCCTTGTAAGTCAAATTATGACCACACTAAATTATATTGTTATTACTTTATTTTAACAACATATTTTAGGCCAATTACATCAATTGCCTTACACTAGATATCACTGTGAATGGCTTTTGGTTGCTGCAAAAAGCCAATAAATAAATAAATAAATAAATAAATAAATAAATAAATCTTATTTGGATATATGGAATCTCACAGATTTTACATAATTCATATTCATACAATGTAAACTTTAAGGTTATAATATTCATCATCAACTGCTACATACCCAAAGGAGTGCCTGGAAGTACTCTTTTTGTTGTTACTATTGCCATGACTAGTGAATTACAATGATTAGTCATTTGTGGAAGATAATATTTAAACTATTAACTTTGGCTAATAATCAAATGTATGTTAAACAGCTACTATGTTCCAGACTGTTTATTAGTCACTGGAGATATAGCATTGAACAAAAGTGACTAAGTCTCCGCTCTTATAGAGATTGTGTTTTGGTCCATGGGGAGTTCATCATTTTTTTGGAGATGTTTTGGTGTGACTCTATCTTCTGCCATTTGGCCATGGTTTATAGATTGTAGTAGCCTCACTACTACCTATAGGGTACTACTATAGTATAGTATAGGATATAGTACTACTAGAGTAGTACCCTATGTCCTACCAGCCCCTGTGGATGGTAGTAGTTTTCTTCTACTCTCTGAATTTTTTCACCATCCTCAATTTGGCTTCTCACTTCTTCCCTCACTTGAGTCATTAGTTTCCTCTAATGAACTTCGTCCACTTAAATTATGCAGTCATGTTTCTGCCTGGATCTGCACTGTTACACAAGTTTAGAAAAGCTCTCTGAACAGAACCCCAAATCAAGAGGAGAAATACATAGGGGGTTGCATTTGCAGTGTACAGGGACTAAAGAACAGGTTTAAAATAGCTCCATAAATGAGATATTTTAAAAATATATGTCTTTAAAAAGTTTAAGAGATAATAAAAGTAAGAGAGTATTTTATATCTATAAAAATATATCTTTAAAAAGTTTGAGAGATAATAAAACTAAGAGAGGATGTGGAGCTGATAAATATAGATCAATCTGGCAGTGTGCTTGGGTTAGCTCCTAGGGCTTGAGAGGTGCTTGTCTTCCCACCTTTATGGTCAGTGAGGTCATGTCTGATAGCTTCCCATCACTCAGAGTGACGTAGTTATTCCACAGAAATTGACCAACATCATTCCCATGGTGTGAATATGTCCCCTATAATTCATATGTTGAAATTTAATCACCAATGTGATAATATTAAGAGGTGGGACTTTTAGGAGATGATTAAGTCATGAGAATAAAGCTGTCATGGATGAGATTAGTGCCTTCTGAAAGGGCTTGAGGGATTTGATTCACTCTCCTCTGCTCTTCTACCATGTGTGTTCCTTCACTTTTGTTCTTTTGCTATTCTGTTATGTAAGGACACAGCAATAAGGGACCATCTTAGAAGCAGAGAGCAGCATTTACCAGGCCTCA